AGTGGTCTGACCCACGGTGGAACGGTCTCTACCATGTCCTTCTGACGACCCCAACCGCAGTCCGAATTGCTGAACGACCCTCCTGGATTCACGTAAGCCACTGTAAACTGTTAAGAGCTCAAGAAGCTGAACTACGGACACACACTAGTGTCTGGCTACAAAGGGGATATGCACATTAGGTGTATGCAGCGAACGTAGCTGTCACTATCGCAGTGAAGAAATCAACGGGTAGACCACCCCCTAGTGTGTATTAGAAATGACTCCTTGGCATCCCTTCCGGCAACCAGGACTGTGTGGAATAAGAGGGACATGTTTCTTCACCTTTATCGCATTCATTATTGTGTTCCCAATTATGTGGTGGGAATACCAAACAAGAATAGACAATAATAACATGAATGGAACTGCATCTTATTTTCAGAACAACTCATCTCATCTACTGAGATGAAGGAGAGCTTTGCTGGACAATCACGACCATGAGGACAATCATTGGTTTCAGGTTGCTAATTTCACAGCAGCGCTACAGAAACAAAGTCGCCTCTGCTTATTATATACATTTATATATTATATATACATTTTCCAATGTATGGTGTTATTCATCCTAGGACATAGGATGAATGATGTTCTTTGGTCACTAGAGAATCTTACTGCTTCTGTGCTACATCTTGCTGAATTTGTTAAAGATGATCCTGAAAAGCGTGCTATGAAAAACATGATTATGCAAAATCGTATGGCATCAGACTTCCTTCTAGCAGAGAAGGGAGAGGTCTGCTGCCAGTTCTGTGTAGCGCAGTTTCTTGCACTCATCGGCCTTCTCCCATGGGACTGTGAGCTATATAATGTTAACTGACTTTATTGAGGGGGACCAGAGTACTAGGTCTGGTCTAAGGCTGGTTGCTGCAATCTCCGGGGGGAAGATTAGCTGTTGGCCGATATCAGCCAGCATCTTCCAATCCGCGCCATGGCTAGGTGGCCAGCTGCATCTGGTATTTTATTGGGATTGCTGAGCTTATTCTGTCCCTTTTGGATGAATGCTGGTGCTTTAAGGTTGGTTGCTCTCAGGGGTAAGGAATTTGTGGCATTCCTTTTACTCACAATTGCTGCTGCCAGGCTCTTGAGCACCTGGTTGTGCCTCCAGGTGTAGCGGCCTTGAGTGAGGCTGGTCTTGCAACCGGTCAAGATGTGTTTGAGAGTGGCTGGAATATGGCAGAGGTTGCAAGTTGGGTCCTCAACGTACCACACGTGGAGGTTTTTTTGGAGATGGGAGCACAGCATAGGTTGCTCTGATGATAAAGCTGATGTTGTTTGCCTCCTTCTTCCAGCTCCTGCTTTGGAGTTTTCAAGGTTCCGCTTTTCTCCTTATCGAAGAGGCTTTTGAGGAACTTGTAGGGATTTTTGTAGAACTGTGTTCTTGTGTGTTCCTTCTTCTTGAGACGTTTTCTGCTCTTCGTAAGCTTGCAAACATTGCATTTAATGTCCTCCTGGAGTAGATTAAGTCCATCTCTAACTGCATCTGAGGCTTTCCTCCATTGTTTTCTTAGCTGCCTTCTCTCTCTGACCAGTCTTTCAATCTCTTGCTGCCTCTTGGATTTGGTTGGTTCTGGCATTGTTTTATCGCTTTTCCTTGTGTTTACTCCAAAGCATTCCTCTCCATAGTTGTAAATGATGTCGCCTATCCTTTCTAATTTTTTTTCTGCTGAANTGTTGTTCCAGGATTTTCGTCAGGTTGCAGATGATTATCTCCTACTCTCTTTTT